GACTCTCTGCATGTGCGCATTCTGTTCAGGGAACTGAAGGCTATAAATATTCATACATATGACTAGGATGAGAAGAGCAGCATAAGAAATTAGAAGTGAGGTATTACTTTGCAAGCCCTGGTGTATGCTTTTGGTTGGTTTTGTTTTGTCTCAGCTGGGTGAATACAATGTTTTTCATAGCTTTGCATTGTGTGTTGTTATAGTTTAATCATTATATTGGTTAAAGAAAAGATGTAATCTTTTTTAGACACATAAATATATCAACATTTCTGTTTTGCCCCGAACTAGAGTTTCTTTGCAAGATTTCAGAGCCTTAGATGGGTCAGGCTTATATGTGAGGGAGAGGTTCAGGATTCAATACGCACGTATGTGTACTGGGAGAATTCGTGTGACCATGCACATCTGTGCACTCATACCAGGCTGGAAATGAGACCAGTAGTAGCAAAGACTTCCTCACACTCGCTGGGGACTTGTTTAAATTCACCTGTGTCACTCCCCCATAAGTTTAAAGTAAAATGAAAAACACATCTGAGTGCAGGTCATATCTACAAAGTGCACGTTACAGGTTGAACGGGTATATTTCATATGTAACGTTTAAGTACATCTTTCTAATCTATTTACCTTTAATGAAAAGACTATGCGGTTGTAATCTTAATCGTATCTTATAAGATAAGGCCTTCCAGAGGTCTTCACATCTTTCCTGATCCTTAACGTTGCCGTTTGTCTTTCAGTTTTAAAGGAGAAAAGAACGTAAACGGCCCTAACAAAACCCCTAACAAAGCAGCTTTCTCTGGATTTGCTGAAGAGCTCTGCAAGAGAGGGGAGACAACGGGGAGGGAAGGAGGAAACCTCAAGCTATGTACATGAGTTGGTGTGCTGTGCGGGTTGCTCTTCTCCTGAGGACGGTGGGCCAAGCGATGACTTGAGAGTATCGCACTTGCGTAGGCTGTAAAGGCTGCAGCTAGAGAAATCCTGTGAGACATCGGGGGAGAGTGCGCAGATGCGGGCGCAGTTTCTTGCAGTGATTGCCTGCGTCAATTTTAGGCAAACTTTCCAGAAAAAAAGGGAAGGAGAGGGGGTAGGTTTAAAATCAGTACCTGCAATGCTTAGCCCAGTCATAAAGTAGCCAGAACTGAGCCTGGGGGTTGAGCCGAGGGGCGGGCACTGCGTAGGTGCCTGTCGGCGGACTCGGGCTATCCGTAGGACGATTTCACCGCTTGCTCATGTAGTGACTTTGCTTTTCTGCTGACACAAGGCACGAACTCGACGTAACCGCGGGGAAGTGCGTGTTAGCGGTGCCGGAGCGGGCCCGTTTGCATGGTGCGGCCCGGCCTGGCCCCCCTGCGTGGGTGCGCGTTTGCTTCTCTGCGGAGAGGACGCAGGGCGAGGGAAAGATAGCGGGCAAAAAAA